TGTAAGACCTCAGGCTGGCCTCACTGTTTAATTAAAAAGAGATGGTCCTTATTTTTAAGACATTCTGACCTGTCCTAATTAAATCCTGGAACAGGAAGGAAGAAGACAAGGGGAATCAGAGCTTACCAAGGCACCGTGTTCCAGTCGCTCTGGGCCCACGGTTCCCAGCTCTGCTGCGCCTTGGAACCCCCGGGCAGCCTTTAGAAATTCGGATGCCTGGGCCACATCCAGACCCATGACATCGGGACATCTACAGGGGGCCCAGGTGATCCTGATGCATGGCCTGGGCTAAAATCCCCCACTTTCTTCTCTAGTCCAAGATTGGCAGGGCAGGAACCGGGGACCACTGGGCACGTGGCTGCTGACGATCTGGGGTCTGATGTTCCCTCTGCACTGCTGCCAAGCCACCGGGCCAGGATCAGTCAATACGCTGGTGGTGAAGAGCCTGGATCTGAGCTCCACCCAGGACGGCCCCGACCTCCACAGACCCTTGCGCACAGTGACGGCTCAGGTGAGAGCACACCATGCTCCCAGACACAGCGGCTCACATGCACAGACCTCAACGCAAAATAAGGCACTATCTCTAGTTCATTCACTTTATGAGCCCTAGTTAAGTGACGAAGCTCTGTCTATACTGGGATTTTGATTACTGTGGGCTCCCAGAACGGAGGGTTCTACTACAGGTATGCCATTAGAAAAGAAAAAAGTCACACCTCGTGGTGCTGGGCCAGTTCTCACTATGGGGGGGGCAACCTCCCTACTGACAACTCCCTGGTGCTTGGCAGTTTGTGAGGGACATTTATGGATATTATCTTGGGAAGGCTCATAGCCTGGGCAAGGGTGGAATCTGTACATGACAGACACTGAGCAGGAGGCTCAGGGAGGTGACCTGCCCAGTGTCACAGAGGGCAAAAGTGGCCCTTGAGTTTAGGTCTCCTTCCTCCCAGTTCCGTGCTCTTTCCCCTCCCAGGAGGGTTTCTCCGAGTGAGGCTGGAGGGGCTGGGAGAGGCAGCCTCTTCCTGGCACCTCCTGGAGAAAACAGATTCCTTGTTATGGGGGTCACACCAAGGTTCCTTTCCAGATGCAAATACTTCCAAATTTAGGGATTAAGGGAGATTAAAACAAAAAGGCCCTCTAGAAAGGGGTTAAACTCATTTTCTCAGAGGTAAAAACTGTCCTTGGCAGTTGGAAAAGGCAGATGTGACTCCGTGGATGACTAACACCCCTTATGGGGGATATATACCTGTCCACGTGTGCTCCCGGCAGGGATTTAAACATTCCACGGCTTTTCCACGGATCCTAAATCATGTAAATTCATCCCGGCCTTTGGTGAAATGTAAGAGCTGGCCAGACTTATGTTAGATCACCCTCTCTGGGCCCCTGCTCCCGAGCTGACGGTCACAAATTCCCCGTAATGAGCGCTCCTGCAGGAGCCAAGACAGTGCTACGCTGAATTAAGAGGGGCGAGAGCCATGGGCAGGGACAGGGATGTGTTTGCTTTGGCTGGGAAGGCGCCTGGGCCCCAGTCTGTGTGTCTGCCTGACAGGGCGGCCTGATAAGTGGGCTGCGTATAAAGTGCTGTGTGGTGGGACCAGGGCCATCTGTCGTGTGTCCAGAGAGGTCATGCCTGCCGGCCCTAGGGGAGCTGGCTGGAGAGGGACCCCGTGTCGACCAGGATTATTTTTTTTCTCTTTAGGAATAAAAATGGAACCCTCAAACTTTTTGTGTTGATGGATTACTTCCAGGCTGCTGTTTGTTTGGAGAACAAAGCTCCCAGCGGCAGGGCAGGCAGAGGCTGTGGTCACCGCATGTTGACGCTGTCCCTTTTCCTGAGGCCGAGAGGCAAACTCCTGACAGCAGAATGGACACAGCTGGTAGATAGTGTGGCCCAGTGGGGAGAGAGCAGAAAACCTGGGTTGTCCTGGCTCTGCCATTTATCAGCTGTGTCACCTTGGGCAAGCATTCAACCTCCGTGTGCCTCGGTTTCCTCACCTGTCCACAGGGGGCTTCGTATGCCTCATGAGAGTGTTGAGAGCATCAGATGAAATAACATAAATGGAAAAACGGTATACGTGTTAATCTGCCATACATATTTTAATGAAAGTGGCCCACCCTCAGTGCAGCCCTCGGCGCTGTGCGGGGACAGTGTCAGCAGGAGGACACCGTTCTGACGTGGACTGTGGGCTTGTGCCTCTTCTCTTCTGAGATAGTGGGTGATACCATCTCTCTTACATGTACGAAAGCTTGAGCATGACTGTAACAGTATTGCTTGCTTGTAGGCTTCTCGAAGGGAGGGATGACGATCGATTTCTGTGGATGCGTTCCCAGCTCTCCCAGGGCAAAGGCCTCCCCCACTTGTGCCCTGGACACCCTCCCCTCCCGCTTTCTGAAGGAGGTTTTTCCTGCGGCTCTTGCCCCTCTTCCATCACAGTGTCAGTTTCTCTCTTTCCGTGGGTTTCAGGAAATAAACACATCCTAATTAGGACCCATTTAAAGCAAACACGGCCCTCCCGCTGGGTGCCTGCTTCCCTGTACTCCAGCCCCAGCTGAACTCCCTGGAGGAGCTGTCTCCGCTCACCCCTCCAGCTCCTCCCCTCCACTGCCCTCCTCAGCCGCTCCCAGGCTCCTGCCTGAATGGCACTTGTCCACTACCGGCCTGTCACGCAGAGTGGCCAGTGGTCCACATTCCATCCTTCTGCACTCTGGACTCGCCCCAGAACTTGCTCCTCAGACCTGCCTGAGGCCACACTGACCACGTCTCAGCTTCCCTCCACCTCTAGCTGTTGGGGTTCCCCAGGGGGCTGTTGGCAGCATTCAGAATAACTCTATCGACACCCTTCAGAGGACACCATACCCAGTCCTGTGGCTTCAAACACCAGCCAGACATGGCGACTCCTGTTTCTTTTTCTAGCCCAGACTTTTTCTCTGAGCTCCGGACTCACGCCAGCTGTCTCCTCCGCATCTCCTCTTGACATCCTCTGAAACTTCGAATGGGTCCCCGGAACTCTCCCTTCTTCTGGCTCTTTCCCTCTGACATCCACTCCTCCCCGCCTTTCTCTTCTTGGTAAATGGCACCACCAAACTCTCAGTTTTGCAGATCAAAAGCCCTGACTCTCCTCTCTCCCTCGCAGCTCACGTCCACCCTGCTGGTGAGTCCAGGCCACTGTCAACCCTCTCCGACACCTTCACAGTGGCCTGATGACTGGTCCCCTCTTGGCCCCTCCAATCTGCACTACATACGACAGCCAGAGTGAGCTTCTAAAGCATCAGTCAGATCATATCACTCTCACGGTAAACTACTTCAGTTGGTTTCCACTGTACCTAGCATGAAGTCCAGACCCCTTTCCCGCACCAGTCAGGCCGGTGTGATCGGGCTCTTGTTCTCCTGCTCCCCGTCCTCTGGCCACTCTGGCTTCCTTCCCAGCCCGTGAACAAGCAAAGCTCCTTCCCCTGCAGGGCTTTTCACTCTGCTCTTTCTGCCTGAGCTGCGTGCTCCCAGACGGTGCGTGACGCTCCGTTCTCACTGTCCAGCTGTCAGTCGAAAGTTCCCTGCTCCAGAGAAGCCTCCCCCGCCTGCCCAGCTGAAAGC